AAGGCAGAGCTGGTTGGGCCAGGCCCATGAATCAGAGAACTTAAAACAATAACCTGGTTTTGTGTAAATTGAAGGAAATAGAATCATAATGAGTAATTGGTAACTAAAAAAAAATTAGCAGTGACCCCAAATACTCCCCCATTTCCTGAAGTTACAATAATCTACTCATAAGGTCTTACAGGCTTCATTCTTACCTCCTACCTCTGTTCTCGCCAGGCTCCCTTCTAATCTGGCATGCTTTGGACAAAACACAGCTGGTTTCCCATCCCTTTCAGTGGTCTTCCCTAATCCTAGTCAAAATTGAGGGGTCTGGGGATGTAACTCATTTGGTAAAACAGTTGCCTAACAAGTAAGAAGCCCTGGGTTTGATCCTCATCACTGCATAAAAACCTTCCATGGAAGCACTTGCAAGTCTATGATTCCAGCGCTCTCTCGAGCTGCAAGCAGCAGGACCAAAGTCATCCTCAGCTCCATAGCAAGTGTGAGGCTAGCCTGAACTGCATAAGACTCTGTATGCAAAACCAAACAGGGGCTGGAGTGATGGCTCACCTGAGGAGCCACTGGCCGCTCTGGCAGGGGACTTGGGGTTGATACAGGAGACCCAGTGCCCTCTTCTGGCTTCCACGGGCTCTGTAAAAATCTGGTGCACAGGCAAAATACCCATACACATAAGAGTTCAAACCAAACCGAACCTGTACACCCACCCAGCCCTTCGGCCAATCCCTCTTCTTTGCTCTCTTTTTCTCCTGGACCGGCACCTTCTAACACACCACATACTCAGTTTACCTGGTTTTCTGTTTCCCTGCAACTACAGGGATTAAATGTTGCTACTGTGTCCCAGGTGCTTGGAGCCAAGCCTGGTTTCTGGCAGTGTTCCCTGTTTGGGGGGATGACTATCAGTGAATTCACCTACTCAGTTCACAGGCTGGGCTGGCTGGGCTCCAGCAAAGGTCTCTCCAGCACAGCCCTTGCTGGGCATTTGAATCTGAGGAGGTATTTCACACAATTCTTTCAACCAGAGAGCGAGTGTATCACGGGCTTTGTTCGCTAAGCTGGCATCATCAGATTACCTGCATAGTGTAATGTCAGAGGGAGCGTAATGGAGCTCTTGGTAGACCTGTAATCTGAACTGAAGATAGTTGATTTTATACTTTATAATGCGAAAGTACTAGGTTGCTTGAAATTTTTACTTCCTTTTTATCTCCCCACCCCAGGAAGTTTTATATGGCATTACTAGTTTATATTTTATGATGAAAATATTTTGATAAAAGCTTTACTTTTCCCCTGAAATATTTTATTTTATTAATGGGTTTATGGGTTATCTTTTCTTCCCATTTTTCTACATTTTCTTGAATAATCAGATATTACTTTTAAAAAAACTTTCTACTGATCTAAGAAATCTACGTGACTTCTTAAAAGGAAAAATTTAAAATTTTGTCCTCATATTCTTATCTCATGGGGTGGAGTCGGGAGACAATTGCTTGGGCAACAGACAATCCCAGTGAAATGTGAGAAGGATTTGGAATTAGGCAAGATTATCAGACAACTTTCTCATGGAAGGATCCGACACTAGTCTCAAAAACCTGAGTGGATTGGACTTTGCAGTCCAGGCTGACAATGGACAATG